ACATAGGAGAATGAAGAACACTGGAAGGAAAAACAAAGATAAATTCAGATATGATACATTAAAATTCTTATGGTAAATCTGAGCGGAGTACTCTGCAGGCAATTAGACACATTCATCTGATGCACAGAGGAGAGCAAGGAGGGAGACATTTGAGAATCAACTGCAAAAATATTGTGGAAATTGCCTTCACCTCCTCAGTCCCATTTTAAATGACAGAGGGTTTGGAAGTCAAATTACATGAGTAGAGGTGAGAGATGCACAAGTGACTCTTTGAAGAAGTTTGGTTGTAAAGAGAAAGAGAAGCATAGAGCAATAGCTATAAGAGAGCTTGGAGGTGAGGAAGGGTCTTTATGAAAAAATGAGACAGATAAACATGCTTAAATGCTATTAGACATAGCTGTCCCTGATTAATAGAATATTAATCAGTCTTCCTGTCTAAAATTTCTACTTCATCTGGTTTAATATTCAACAAGCAATCTATAAGAGACTAATGCTTTTCTTCTTAGATTTGATAGCTGTGTTATAAATGGGGTCTTCTATAGACACAATACTCTGAAAATAAAGGATCGAAATGCTAACCAGAAATCTACTATTCTTATTCTAAAGTCTTCTCTTTAGAAGCTATATTTTGAATGCTTTCTCATCTATTTTTACCATGAGCAACAATTTTATTTTTCTAATACATATTACATAGCCTGAGAGCAAACCCGATATAAGCAATTAAGATGGTACCAAAGGAATTAGTTGCTGAATACCACTAAGGATAGAACATATGAAAGTTTAGATGGGACAAGGAAAAAATGGGAAAACTATTTCCCTTGGCATATGGAAATCAGTTCTGCTGGCTGGTTGCCAAAGACTAAATGATTAAAGTCAGTATGCTAGAAACTTTGAAGAAGATTTGAGAAAAGGTCTGTGCTCTCTTAAGAGTTTATTATGTCAACTGCAAAAGAACAGTTTGCAAAAGACACAAATAAAGTGTGGAAGACTGAGATAAAGAATGAAACTTAGCAGGAGACAGGAAATAGGACATAAAAAAGAATTGTTGAAGCCTTCGAAAGAAAAGACAAGGATGAATGATAAGCCAAAGAATGAGGAGAAAATACAATGAATCCTAAAGGTTGACCCCATTATACAGTATTAATATAAGAGACACTGAGCTGCAAGATAAGTTTACTAAATACTCTAGAGTAAGTTCACACAGTGACACCAAAATTTATGCAGGCGATGTCATAGTTATTTACAGTTCTTTTTTTTTTTAAGAGAGAGAAATGCTATTTTGAAATAGAATCACACTTGGAAGAACCTCAAAAGGACCTTGAAATATCATCTGGTTCTTGAAGGCAGAGTTAGCAGCAGCCTCCAACTGTTAATGTCCACAGGATCTGCCTCAGATCTCTAACCAAGGACACACTCTTCCTGAGCATCCTCCACCAGGATTAGTCAGAACCAGCCAGGCATGGAAAATGCAGGACTCCTCTTCTCTGCTCCAGAGGTCCTTTATACATTGGCCAAGACATTTTCAGATCTATATTAAATCTGAGGCCCTCTGCCGGATTCTGTCTCAACCTTCCTTCCCTATCACAGGGATCAGATCAGCATCACCTCCTGAAGGCTTACCCTGCCTAACCATGCTCCCTCTTTTTTGTTTGATTTTTTTGGTACCAGGGATTGAACACAGGGCACTTAACCACTGAATTACATCCCAGTTATTTTTATTTTTTATTTTGAAAGAGGTCTCCCCAAGTTGCTTAGGGCCTCACTAAATTGGTGAGCCTGGTTTTGAACTCGCGATTCTCCTGCCTCAGCCTTCTGAGACACTAGGATTAAAGACATATTATGCCACCATGCCTCACCTCTTTGTGTCCTTCACAGACATTATGCTCCTGAGTCTCTAGTAACCCTCATACACTTGACACTCCTAATTCTTTCTCTATATCTGTATCCTGATAGATATAATTATATATACAAAGAATATTTTGTAACACATGCATCTGACACAGGTTTTATGTCCAGAATACATTTAAAACACATTAAGAAGATAATTCAACTTTTTAATGGGCAGAGATTTCATTTCTAAAAATACAAAGCCACGTGTGGTAGTCCATTCCTGTAATCTCACCTACTTGGGAGACTAAGGCAGGATGATCAAAAGTTTGAGACCAGTCTGGGGAACTTAATGAGACCCTGTCTCACAACAAAAAATAAAAAGGACTGTGGATATAATACAGGGGTAGAGCACTCCTGGATTCAATTCCCAATACCACACCCACACACTCACACAAGATTATACATTCAAGAATGTTCATAGCGGCTTTATTCAGAAAAGTGCAAAACTGGAAACAATATAGATGTCCATTAACCATGGACAAGTGGAAAAATTATGGCATATCCACACAATGAAAACAATATTTAAATATTTAGCAATTAAAAATTACTGGACATAGAAACACATGAATGAATCTCAAAAACATTATGTTTAGTTAAAGAAACCAAACACATTAAAGGACATATGTGATTCCATTTCTAGGAAGATCTATATGTATAGATATATACATATTTTATATTTGGTATATATCTATGTATTTATATTGTGGCAAAACTATAGTGATGGAAATCAGATCAGAGGTACTGGGGGTGAAGGATGGATTGGAAATGAGTATGAGGAAATGTCTGGGATAATGGAAATTTTCTGTATCTTGATTGGGTGGCGGTTGTACAGGAATATACATTTGCCAAAACTCATAAAACTGTACACTGAAAATGTCTACCTGCTACTACCTGAATTTTTTTATATTTATTTTTTAGTTTTAGGTGGACACAATATCCTTATTTTATTTTTATGTGGTGTTGAGGATCGAACCCAGTGCCTCATGCATGCCAGGTGGGTGCACTACCCCTTGAGCCACATCCCCACCCACTACCAGATTTTTAATGTGTGTTTCTGACATTTATAAATTCTATACCAAATACATACTAAATTCTAAATAGATATGTAAATAAATACCTTATTTTTTGGCATGACAAAAGGAATACTTATTTATATCTCTAGATTATAAAAATGAAAAAAGAAAGGGAGTATTGTCTGTTTTTCTGATATCCAAAAACCTTATCAAATTCCCTTATTCTGTTGTTTTTAACTGAAGTTCTTAGCATTTCTTAGGCATACAATTATATAAACAGCAAAAGAAATAACTTCATCACTCATTATCCAACATTTATACAGATTACTTTGTTTGCCTCTCTTATTGCATTCATTGGTCTCCAAAAGAACATTAAATAATAATAATGATCATCAGATGCCCTCTATTTTCTACACATTAGAGGAAATGTCTTAATATCTGATTGTTCCATCTCCAATTTTTCTATGGTAATTAATCTCTTCAGGTTTTCTACTTTACAGGTCAATATTTTTAAGGAGTCACTCACATCTCCTAGATTTTCAACTGTAATATTCTTGAGTTTTAATTAGTAATTTACAATATTTTAATATTCTTTTCCATCGATGGTTACCTCCCTTCTAATTCCTATCTTGTACAATTTTGTTTTGTTTTGTTTTAAATCAGAGACATGGTGTTTTCAAAGAACCAGCTTTGGGGTTTATTTATACAAGTTTGTATTTTATTCATTTCAATTGTTATATTTATTGCTTTCATTGTTTCTAATTAACGTATGTCTATATCTTTACATAGTTTATATTATATATACATATTTTATATTTGGTATATATTTATGTATTTATATTGTGGGTTACAAAATTCTTTTTGAGGATTTACAATTGTGACCTTGAAACTTGGGGTGGAACATGCATGCACAAGGTCTCCTGGATTCAATCCCCAGCAAAAAAATAAAAGTAAAATTGTACCTGCACCAACCACCCACTTCCTTACACACTTTGTTACTTTGCTTGTTTAAAATTCTTTTTGTACCATTTATCATTTATGATCTTCAAACAACCTACATGAGTTACTTATATATTGCTTATTGTTTAGCCTGTTAATTATACACTATACAAAGTTCACAAGGGCTAGAAATTTTTACCTGTATTATTCACTCATGTATCTTAAAAGCCTTAAATTGTGCCTGACACAAAGTAGGTACTGAAGAAAATATATCAGATGAATAAACCATTATTATCACATAATTCATTTTATTCACGCAAAGGGCAAAGCAGGCATACTACTGATACCCATTCATTCACCAACATCTGGTTCATCGTCTAGTATGTTTGAGAACCTGCTGGCGCTTAAGTGTATATTAACAAGCCCCTACCCTCACGGAGCCAACAGTCTACATTAATACTATATGAGCAGGAATGGGAGGCAGGGACAGATGCTGTGGAAAAAATGTATTGGTTGTACAAATATACTCTTAATATTTCTTATTGATCTCAAATCGGGCGCCGAATCAACTTTTTGACCTATTGTTTTGGTTACTCTCCTAACAGTTAAAAGATGTCGGGTGGTCGAGCTAAAGTTGTGGTTCAGCGGTACAGCACTCGCCTAGCACGTGCAAGGCGCTGAGTTTGATCCTCAGCATCACATAAAAATAAATAAAAGTATTGTATCCAATTATTGAAACAACGACTAAAAAATTAAAAAAAAAAAAAAGATGTCGGGTGGTCAAATCCCTCAAAATACCGAGGGAAATTCTAGAAGACAGTGGCTGGACAACAGTCGACCATCACCTTAATCACCCGGGATGGTTTCACGCACGCGCGGGTCTGCAAAACCCATACAAGCGTGGAGGCTGTTATGGGAACATGAAGTGTTACACCGAGGGTCTCGGCTGCCTTCCGCGGAGATCAAGGCCGCCTAGTCCGGTGAGGGAGGAATGCGACTCGCCCACAACTAACAGGGGTCAACCGAAGGAGTTCCAAAACACTGGGAACCACCAGATCCAGAAGCAGCCGAAGCACACGAGCGAAGTGCAGACACAGCCCAAGGTCCGCGCGCAGCCGCCTCCGAGCCAGGCCCGCCCACTTCGCCCCGCCCCTCGCACCGGAAGAACGTGCCTGCGCTTCCGGAGGTCTGCGACCCTTGCCGTTGCCTCGGTGATGTCGTGGGTTCAAGCCGCGTCCTCCACTCCGAGCGCTGCTGACGAAGAGGACGTATTTGACGAGGAAGCGGACGAGTCGCTCCTGGTGCAGCGAGAATGGCGGAATCACATGCAGAGACGAATCAAAGTAAACCTGAGTGGAGGCCGTGGGCACACCCTAGGGTCCCGGGTTGCGGGAGGAATGTGCGGAGTTGTGAAGAAGCTCTGTCCAGAGTGTTCCCAGCTTGGCCTGCTGCCCTCGTTATGGCTTGATTGCCAGTCTGGCCCGCGTCCTGCTAGGATTTCCCAGCGGGTTCCTTGAAAGCGTGTGAAACAACGCATTATCGCCTGACTTATTTTACTCACGCAAAGGGCAAAGCAGGAATAGAGGACCCGTTCATTCACCAATATCTAGTTCAACATCTAGAGCTGGGGGTGTCGCTCAGTTGGTAGAGTGCTTGCCTCACATGCATGCATAAGATTCGAAGTTCAATCCCCGGCGGCACACAAAAAAAGATAACATCTAGTATGTGTCTGAACCAGCTGGTGGTTGAGTGTGTATATTAACAAGTCCCTACCTTCCACTCCAACAGCCTACAGTTAGGGCATTCAAGCAGGAATGGGAGGCAGGGAAGATTACTGCGCGGTCTTTGTGAACCTGAGGGCTGCGTTACAAGCTGGGACCTACTTTAAAACTATCCAGACTTCGAAGAGTTTGCACTTTGATGAGGATCTCAAGGAAAGGGGTGGGGGAGTAATGTACACTGACTATACTAATTATGGCTATCAAGGACACAGTGTGCTTGAATGGGTGGGGAACACAAAGGCATATGGAAAAGATTGAGCTTAAGAAGGGGAAAGTGGGGGAAAGCTGGTATGAAACACTGGTGGCTAGGTAAGGCAATATTAAAAGTTGGTTTCTTTTTTATTTGGTAAATACAAAGTGTTCTTTCTTTGACTCATTATTCATTGAGAACAAGCTTAATTTTCAGGTAAAGCACTCAGAACTTAATTCTGGATAAGAACTAAATGATAAGATTTGCATCCACATAATATTTTTGCCAGTCTTATTATGCCCTTAGAGCTGTAGTTGGGAATTTTCCCTAATTTAATGTTTCAGTAAAATATTATTTAACTTGGCCCAACAGCCATATTGTCCCTTTCAGAAATGCTTTATTTGAGACTGGTGCTAGTCCAGTAAATACTGAGTGCTGTGACACCCTTGAGAGATGCAAGACAAAATCTCTATCCACAGAAAATTTGCATTTTAGTCAAAGTTAGTAATCAAGTAAAATTCTAAAGCCAAATTTCCCATTTTCTTTTTCAAAAAGTTTACTTTTTTGCTACTTTACTGGCCTCCTTATCCACCTATACCATTCGAGTTCATTGCCAAGGGGCCAGACATAATTTTCCATGTTTCTTTTCTGTGAAGACATTGTTTAAAATTGTGTGAGAATCAAGTGTTTAAAATTTGCTTATTAAATCTAGACTTCAAAAGTGGGATGCCATTATATGTCCAATGGCATAGTAAAGGCCTATTTCACAGTTTTCTAAATTAGTACTATGCCTTTCTAGAAAAGCCTGCATACGGTTCACTTGGTGTTAATTACAATCACAATTCTTTATTTTTGCCTGCATATGGTTCACTTGGTGTTAATTACAATCACAATTCTTTATTTTTAGGAAGGTTATAGAGATGGACTAGATGCTGGCAAAGCAGTTACTCTCCAACAGGGCTTCAATCAAGGTTATAAGGAAGGTGCAGAAGTCATTATAAACTATGGACAACTCAGAGGAACATTGAGGTAATTTTAAATTATAATGTCATTACTACTGGTGAATTTTTATGAAAGTAATATAAAAAAGTAAAAATAAAGTATTTAAACTAAAGTGCTTTCCCTGGTATTGAATGCACAAAATTGAATTACACTGCCTTCAAAAAGTGAAAATTAGCTGGACTAACTGGTGTGCACCTATAATCTCAGCAACTCAGGAGGCTGAGCCAGGAGGATCACAATTTAAGGCCAGCCTCAGCACTTTAGCAAGGTCCTAAGCAACATAGCAAGACCCTGTGTCAAAATTTTTTTAATTTTTAAGAAGAGCTGGGGATATAGCTCAGTGGTAAAGCACCCCAGGGTTCATTCTCCAGTACAAAAAAAAAAAAAGCAAACAAAAAGTAAAAATCATTATTAGTTCATTCACTTGAATATGTAAACCAGGAGTTATCCATTTTTGCAAACAAATGGTAGGAAAATATATATACTTTTGCTACCCAAACTACCATCAATCTCTAATTAAAAGAAGTTAAGATTTTGAATAAAGCTTTTAGTGTTTGTACATATGGCAGAGCACAATATGATAACCTCTAGACCAGAAGTACATAATGAAAATTATAGTAATTGAAAAATTATTCCATTTGTTTTTGTCCTGAGCACTGAGTACCTGTCAGGATTTTATAGCAATAATGGCATATAACAAACCCAAGTGGTCAGATGACACATGAAGCTAAGAACATGACAGACCGGTTTATCCTCTTTGATGCTTTACACATTTTAAACTCTTCTGTAGAGAAAGGCATAAAATATTTCAAAGAGTCTAATTTTATAACAGGATAGAAGATGAAAGAAATCAAAACAAAAAATTATTGTGTTCATAATTTTAGAAAATAATAGGATAGAAGATGAAAGAAAGATTAAAACAAAATTATCAAGTTCATAGTCTTAGAAAATTTAACTGGATTTATAGTTTACTACTATAGGAAAATGATTAATTGTTCATCTTCATATCATCAAGTTAAATTAATCTTTTATATGCTTAGAAAACTTACTGCTAAATCTTTTATGTCTGTTGATTCCATTATTAAAACATTACTTTTCAGCTGGGGATGTAGCTGAGCATTAGAGTGCTTAGCATGCTCAAGGCCCTGGGTTCAATCCTCAGCACCAAAACAAAAAACAAACAAAATAATTACTTTTCGTAATAACCACTGTGTTATTTCTGAAATGTAAAATAATAAAACAATATTGTCCATATTAGAAAAGTAAAACATATGTTAAATCTGTTAGGACTAGAATTCTTACCTTTTTCAAGGTAATTGTTCGTAGCTCCTTAGATGATTCTAATGGGTGGCCAAGATTAAGAATCACTAGTTCAGGAACTGTTTGATGTCCTTACAGGAGAAACTTGTTTTACTGATCTTTCTCCAGGTTGTATACCTCTATAGAAGTTATAGTTATTAGGGAAAGTCTAAAATATGAAAAGTAGTTATAGAGCTGTGAAAGAGGAAATATAGATTATAAATACATGATTAAGTCTAATTTGTATTAAAAAATAATGTCCTTATTTTTAAATCCTATTTTACCATTATTAACTTCTGCTTTTGACTGACATTATTATCATTAATACATTTTGCATGATGTTATCTGAAAGAGATTTTTAGGGCTTAGCCTCAAACATTCTAAAAGCCTATGACTTTAATTTTTTACCTTTTTAATTCTTGTTTGTATTTTCATTCAGTGCTTTGCTCTCCTGGTGTCACCTTCATGATAATAGTTCAACTTTGATCAGTGAAATAAATAGTCTTCTGGATGCAGTTGGCCAATGTGAAGAGTATGTGCTCAAACATCTGAAATCAATCACTTCACAGCCTCATGTTGTAGATTTATTGGATTCCATTGAGGACATGGACCTTTGTCATGTAGTTCCAGACAAGAAAAAGATTGATGAAACTAAAGATGAAAGACTCTGTGAAAATAATGCTGAGTTTAACAAAAACTGTGGCAAGAGTCCTAGTGGGAAAGATTGTTCATATTTAGAACGTTGTACAACACAAGAGCATTCACATTCTGAAAACCCAAACCTTGCTTGGATTTTAGAACAGACAGCCAGTTTAGTTAAACAGTTGGGAATATCAACAGATGTTTTGCAGCACCTCAAACAACTATAAAAATTATGTTCCCTTTTCTAAGGAATGTCTCAGAGCATTTTGTTTCCTAATAGGGTAACCAGAATTAATACCATTTCTGCTCTGAACACTTCAGATGTTATCCTTCATGGAAGTTTGCAATGACTTCAACATTAACACTCTTATACTATAAGCTTTTTCTGTGTCACTGGTAATTCTTTTGTAGTTTAAGATATACTCAGAAATTCCAGTTGTCATCATTTTCAAATATCTCATCAAAATTGAACATTTTTAGACTCATTAACAAAAGCTAACAAGAATCAAACCTAACACTACTTTCTACTTCCATCACAATCAGGGGATTCAAGACCTCATCACCAACTAATCAGACCTAAGTTACCAAAAGTCACCTGATGGCTAACATTATAGACACAGAAATAAATATATGTATAGATATACAGGTTTATATTGAAAGCAGTCTTAATATTGTTGATTAAACAATTAAAAATAAGATATCAAAATTCACTTTAGTTACATATTGATTAAAAATTAGAGGGTTGGGGATGTAGCTCAGTTGGTAGAATGCTTGCCCAAGCACATGCAGAAGACCCTGGGTTCAATCCCCAGCACCACCAAAATAATAATAAGGACATTCCATAAAAAATACAGAAAATCCATTTCATTCTCAAGTACCTAGTTTTTCCAAATAGTAAAGAGTTATTAGTGTTACTTAATATTCCAGATTATTCTAAATGGCTGTTTTGCTTAAAATTCACATAAGAAACAACTGGCTTCTGTATTACCTTAAAGTGAATTTTTTATTCTAGCATAAATTAAAGATTCAAATATTTACTTGAGGATCTAAGCATGTACTAAACTTGGAAAATAATTTTTCGTCACTTTTTTCCACCTGAAATACAAATTTATATGAGGTAGCCAATTGGAGAGGCACCCTGGTAATTGTCCTTCATTGGTAGCCTTAGCTGCTATTTCATCAGTATTTTTATGTACCATACATGCTAAAAGACATATCACTGTAGTGAGAGAATCTGCTAAAATGTCTTCAAGGGACAAAGAAAATGTACTATGATCTTAGAGCCCTCTTCAGAGTTCATAGAACTTTGAAAAATTGAGGCAACAAATTTTGAAATAAGAATACCATAGCACTGGGGTTGTTGCTCAGCAGTACAGCGCTCTCCTGGCATGGGTGGGGCACTGGGTTAGATCCTCAGCACCACATAAAAATGAAGGTATTGTGTTCACCTACAACTAAAAATATATTTTTTAAAAAAGAATGCCATAGAGTTTCAGATTTTATAAAAACCTGCTGAAGCTATCAAAGTGACATTTGGTACCTGGTTTTAAAAAATGTGCCCATATCCAGATATGAACACCATTTTAGAGATTTACTAATTCATCTTATTATATATTATTCCATATTTTTAGATGCAACCAAAATCTAAAATCCACAACAGAATATTAAAAGCAATCTCAAGTCTTGTTTTTGTTCTGTCCTGCATATTACTTGTGAAATATCTATCTCTAGTGATATTATCGCAAGAAGGTCACACTGAGTAAAAACTTAATGATGTTATTGAGATTTTATCTGGGCTTCCCCAATAAGATTCCCAAAAGATAATATCCCTTGACACCATTGATTACATAGAGCCTGTTTATAGAAATGTTTATAGAAAATGAAGTCAAAAGAATTCACTGAGTTGATGATAAGCCTCTGCACTAGAACCAACAAGAGCAAAGGAAGTCCTGCTTCACTTTTGATTTTTTTTTTCTTTTGCCTTGGTTTATATGTTTGTAGGCATGCCAGGTCTTCCCATGAGAAGACTATAGATGAATATAATTGGAAAGGCAAGATTGCCCCAGTACCAGCACAGCTAGAGTGTCAAGGCCAAGGACCCAGACATTAGGCTGAGTAATATGTTTTTTAGAAGCAGAAATTGCATCTATAGTAAGTTATTTCTAGGTGTTGACATATCTGGGTATATACATACATATTTTGTTCTGGGTATATTTTTTAACAAATCGGGGAGCTCCATTTTCTGACATTTCAATTGCTGGAACTGCTGAGGACATAAAATTTTTTATGATATGTGAACAGGAACTAAGCAACTGGATTCACCTACTTGCATCTTAATCTCATTTACAATCACATCACTTCATGGAATGCATTCTGAGAAACATATCATCGGGTGATTTTATTGTGTGAACACTTGAATGTGCTTCAACTAAGATGGTTATGATGTCACTAGGTGATGTAATTTTATAGGACCACCATTGTTTCTCTGTGACCCATTGTTAGCCACAATGTTGCTAAACTGCACAAGAATCTGTTATCACCATTCAAATGTTTACTTCCTATTCATACTTCCACTTTAAATTGCTTTTTGCTAAGGATGCTGATAGCTAAAGTCACACATCTGCCCATTACTGGCTTGTTTTCGGTCCTACCACTTGTCTCTCCAACAATGGACACAACCAACGAACCTTACAATCCCTTCTGCTTGTATTCCGCAGCATAGTTTTTATTTTTGTCCTAGGTGTTACTATTACCTATCATTTGCTAACTCTCCCCTTTTCTGTCTGCCCCTTAACTGTGAGGATTCCCCAGAGTTTCATTCTTGGATCTTTTTTTTGTTTTTACACTCTTAAGCAGAGAACCTCACCTCCTCCTATGGTTTCAATTACACTGAATATCCCAAAGCTAATATTTCAACCCCATCCTTCTCCCAAGCTCCAGACATAAATTTGCAACTGCCCATTTCTTATGCCTATTTCAGTGGCTTAGCATAAACAGCATTTCTAAACAGATTTCCTATTCCCTTTCCCTCTCATTTCCATCCCAATTTATTTTGTGTGCCTGTGCATGTATGTGTGTGAAACTGGAGATTGAACCCAGAACTAGGCAAGTACTCTACCACTGAGCGATATTCCCAGACCTTTACTTTGCCTTTTGTATTTTCAATCTATTAACATCATCTCTGTTCACACAAAGCTAGAAATCTTTATGTCTTTCTCTGCCTTTCCTTTCCACCACACCCTACTTAATTGTCAATTGAATATTTTTACTCTTCAGAACATTTTGAATTTGACCTTTCATTTGAATCATCAGATTTTAAATTAAGTTTTTGCCTCATTACTGTTAGTACTTCCAATTTAGGTCATTTCTTTTTTCTTTTCCTTATCACTATTATCTTCCTGAAACAGTTTATTTCCCTGATTTAAAACCTCAATTTAGGACTGGGGTTGTAGCTCAGTGGTAGAGTGCTTGCCTGGCACATGTGAGACACTGGGTTTGATCCTCAGTGCCACATATAAATAAAAAAAAATGAAGGCATTGTGTCCATCTACAACTGAAAATAACATTAAAAAAACTGACTTATTACTCTTTTTTTCTACTAAGTAAATTATAAACATGAATTCAGTTCTGAGCCCAAGCAGCATTGTGAGTCTTATTTCTTTCTGCCTGCTTCTACCCCACCATGCACTCCACACTTATTATACAATACTACAATTCTTTTGAAACATAATAGAGCTACTCCCAACCTCCAGTTTTACTCATTGCTGACTCTTCTGCTGAGAATACTTCATTCTCCATCCTTCTTTCCCAGAAAGTGCTTATTTATCCTTCAATGCTAGCTTAAATTTCAACTTCATCAGTCAAAGAGTTAGTTTATTTCCCCAATATACCCTCTGTATCACTTTGAGTATCTCCTAACTTCAGAATTCTCCAAGAACGGGTAACATCGACAGCACTTAGCGTCATATCTTATAACAGATGCATAGGGAATATTCGATGAATCGAGGAAAAAAAATGAGTCTACTAGGCAAAATGACAATATAACAAGAAATATAGTATTCCAAAATACATCATACATCCTTTTGTTTTTAGAAGACAAAACAAACCTTTATGTTTGCCTTATTTTAAAAAAAAGTCCATTGTTCCTCCTCATTTTTTATATTAATCATAAAAATCCATGTATCCAGATTGTATTATACCAGGCTAAATACTAACATTAAGACAATAGCACTTATCAGTCATTAAAAACTATACTTCTGAGTTGGGCACAGTGGGTGCATGCCTATAATCCTGACAAGTTGGGAGTCTGAGGCAAGAATCATAAGTTTGAGGCCAGCTTCAACAACTTAACAAAACTGTCTAAAAATCTTTTAAAGGCCTAGGAATGTAGCTAAGTTCAATCCCCAGTACTGCTAAAAGAAAAAAATTATACTGCAATATAATATAAAGGCCTAAAACACATAAAATTATATTTTAGTAAGTCTCACCCATTAAGAAAGTACAGAAAGAAACTACACAAAAGAAAAACCTGGATGAAAACAGTTTAATAAATTATTCGTTTCTAGCAGGATGCCTGGTGCATCGTTTTAATGATGCTAAGAAGGAGCTGAAACAAGAGGAGGAAATAGGGCAAGTAATAGCTAACAGTGCTTACTGTATACAGGCACTGTTCTAAAAACTTTACATATTTAATTTGTTTATTCTCATAACAACCCTATGCCACAGAACTATTATTATCCCATTCTATGATAGGAAAAAAAAAAAGTATGAAGAAGGCTGAACAAGTTGTCCAATTCACAGCTATGAAATGACCTGGTTGAGATTTAAACCTATGTTAAGTCTAGCCTCAGAATTTGTGCTCAAGGTAGATGCTCACTAAATAATAACAAAGTAGCAGCGATCATGTTTAGTGGGGGAAATATGAACTATATTTTCCCCTTGCTGTTTCTACTTAGTATTTCTACTGCATTTTCAAGACTTCCCCACTCCACAAGTATTATTTTTATAATAAATGCGAATAATAATAAATGAAAGTTTCTCAGAAATTTGTCTTCTCTACATCTAAAACAGGAAAAATACCATTCCTGCTCACTAGGGGAGAGAATCTCGATCATTTAGAATGTGGTATAGAAAGATATGTTCAACATAAACAGAAACTAAATTCTCCTTAGACTCCTTAGACTTCATACTTCCTCACAGGAGGATAATCCAAGTCATTCATTTCATGATAATGTGTCTTTACCATTCATATATTCCTACTTAAAAAAAAAAAAGACTGTTAGCTCACCTCTTACATACTGCTACATATTTGCCAAAAAGAGCCAAGAGTACTCAGCATGCAAAACACTCCATTTTCTTGTCCCATTAATAGTCTTATCTTTCCAGAAAGAAGGTCAGCAAAGTACAATCAGAACTACCTACAGATTCAGTTCTGGAGAATTTGGATACTAGTGCTTTCATATGTTAATAGGCAGTTCAGCTTTAGAGAGGCCCTGGACCTTTGGATCCTGTCTTTCCCCAAAACTGATGAATTTAGTTCAAGGCCACTGGGTGGTGCTCGTGTACCCTGATATGTTAGTACAGTATGTGTTTCCTAGGTAACTGCCCTTTAGACCTTAGACTTCACTGTCAGAAAAATGAGAAGCTAACAATTATCCCTAGAGCTATGCCAGATAGATTGAATCACTTGTAAGATTGGGTAGGTGGGGAGAATTTCTGGGTATGTCAACAAACAAGAAATAAGGGCACCCCCTGTTTATAATTCTAAGCTGAGACTTATTCTAAATCAAAATAACCAATCATAAAGAAGCCAATTTGTAAAAAAAAACCCTTCTATACGCCAAAGCTTTGAGTCCTAAAAGAACTAACAACCCAAAGCATATAGAATTCAGTAAGAAACCATGTAAAATTATAATTTCACAGGCATGGAACTTTGCTTGCCAGGCAAGACTGCCTAAACCATTAGAAACAATTCTAATCCATCTCTTCATTTCTCACTGTTTTGCTCTCTCTCCCACACAAGTACAGCTTTTCAGGGTTTAAAGTAGAAGTAGACAGCAACATTTTTAACCCACTCAAACATATCACAATGCCTTTTTTAAAATATTTAATTTTTAGGTGTAGATGGACACAACACAATGCTTTATTTTTATGTGGTGCTGAGGATCGAACCTAGGTCCCGAGCGTGCTAGGCGAGTGCTCTGCCGCTGAGCCACAATCCCAGCCCCACAATGCCTTTTTTTTTTAAGTCAAGAAATCTACAACCTGATAGGTTTTTCTCATAACAAATACAACTCATTCCATCTAATAGTTAAGCTTTTCCTTATGAATTGCATAATCACTATTATCTATGGCTTTATTATTTTTTGAAGTATGTGGTTCTAAGATGGAATTTTTAAACATAAATATTTGCTAAATCCCTTATAATAATGACAGTCATTTTACAATGATAGTATTTGTAGTCTTTGAAAAAAAAACTGGACTGATATAAGGGTATAATGTAAATACCTAAAAATAAAATATCTCTCTTTTTTCTTATTTTGAGACATTGTAAACACTTTTCTCCCATAATCAGATCTTGAAATAACCAGGGACTCTCTAACTTGTAACTATAAATTATAAAGTGAAAATGCCAATCGTTTGCTTATTAAAAACTAACCAGGCCAGGCAAGGTGGCACACTCCTGTAATCCCAGTGGCTGGGGAGACTAAGGTAGGAGGATCACAAGTTCAAAGCTAGCTTCAGCAACTTAGTGAGGCCCTAAGTAACTCAGTGAGACCCTGTCTCTAAATAAAATACAAAAAAGGGCTGGGGATGTGGCTCAGTGGTTAAGTGCCCCTGAGTTCAGTTCCCAGTACCAAAATTATAAAAATAAAAAATAACCATAAATTTCTAAACTCTCAGTTATACTAGAAATTATTGCTATGGAGTTGATTTTTGGAAGAAAAACTCATTTAAATGCATTTAGACATTCAAATCCCAAGTGGGAACTAATTAAACATTTTCATTTGAAATCAGTGTTCTGCTATTCAAGATGCCAAATGATATATTAATAGTCTCTGATTTTAATCTTTTCATAGGCTTCTATGAGTTTCATATAATGTCTGAAATCTGGCAGTATCCATTATGACCCACCCCATTTGTTAGCTTAGAGAGCATTTTTATTTTTCAGTGCTGGAACAAAGGGTACCCTTCATGAAAGGTAATAGCAACACTGAGATCAGAGATATGAATCCATTTTCACTAAGCTGCTCGGAGGCCTCTGCCTTTCCAGTGTGAACAGTTGTAAAGGTAAAATTTCTAAGCTGATTCTAAGCTGCAAAAGCCTGAGTTAAAGTGTAAAAGACCGGGCATTGTAAAGTTTCTAAATTGCAAGGCCTGGGCTAAAAAGTAAAAGACCAGGTATTGTTAAAATTCCTCTGCTACCCCTGGAACTTGTAATCTCTGTAGCTGTTAGGACAATACTGGAACTGCCCAGTAAATATTTCCATTGATTCCCTGGTTGTTTAATAGCTAAGGGCTCTAAGTAGCTCGGCACGTAGGCATCCAGGCCCCAAAACCAATCAGTTTAAATGTGTACCCCGCTTAGGAGTGACCAATCACCCCTGCCCAGATTGTTCCCGCCAATGAATGTACTAATCATGTCTCAGAGTTGTTGTTCAATTTTCCCGCGCCTCATGATGATTTGTTCTGATGTATGCAAAGCCCCCCCCTCTCCAAAAAGTGTACTTAAGCTCTGCTTGACCTCTGCTCTGGGCTCTGGGCTGCTCTCCCTTCCTGAGTGAGCCTTGAGCCCCAGCATGCTGGTTCAATAAAACTCCCCCCTGCTTATTGCATGAAGCTGGTCTCTTGTGGTCTCTTTCTCTGACGCTTCGATGGACCCTTACAAGTATACTCCTGACCTCACCGCAGGTTACATTTTCCGCAAGGAAGTAACCAGGGGACAACTTGAGAAAGGCAGGCAAAGTGAATTGCTGATGATGAATGATGTTCAGCTGATGGAAAGGATGACTAGAGAAGGTGACAAAGAAACTTACTAAAAAATCAGTGTAGCTTTTGAATTTTTAGAACAGAATATGTCTCAAATCAAAGATATTTTAACCCATTTGCCTTAAAAATTCCAGATTTAGAAATTTGATCTAAGAAAATAAATAGGTGGTAAAAGAAACTTTCAGCACAAAGATAATCCATTGCCACATTCTATGTAGAGTAAAATTAGAAACATCCTATGGCCGACAATTTAAAAATTGTTAATTATGTTAGCTTAAATTTGACTTACCCATTATAAGTTATCATTATGAGAACTATAGAAATAAGCAAAATATTTATGGTATATATTTAACTGAAAGTCGCTAGTTAATGTTGAAATGTGTGGATACATTATATTTAAAGTGTGTATTTAACAGATAAATGGAAGATCATTCTCTGTTACAGTAATTATTGTATTAATGTGGTAGAACTTGTTTTCTTTTTCAGAATGATCTTTTGTTGTGAACACTTTTTATAGTAAGAAAAGAAAAATGTTTGAAAAGGTGTTCATTTTTAAGAAGAACTATTAAGTGCACTTTCCTGAAAATCAAAATCTGGGGAAGAAAGCAAATGTACTTAATTCAAAACACTAGATCAGAAAAAGATGTAGTGGGGGTGGGGCAATACAATATGTTTTTCAAATCATATCAAAACTGTAAGTTTATTTCTTAAATTATACATAGTATTATAGTTTGGATCTTAAATGTCCTTCAAAGTCCCATGTGTTAAAGGCTTTGTCACCAGCCTAAAGCACTACTGGGAGGTGGGGGAGGTGAAAACAGGTATCAGGAGACTGACAAGCATATCCTTGAAGGGGACATTGAGACCTCAGCACCTTTCTCTCCCTTTGCCTCCTGGCCATCAGGGGGTGAGCAGCTTTGCTCCACCATGTTCCCCTGACATGACACTCTCCTCAGACCCAAAAGCAGTGACCATGGGCTGAAACCATAAGCCAAAATAAATCTTTCCTCTTTTTAAGTTGATTATCTCCTGTATTTTATAATAGTAACAGAAAACAAACACACTTAATCAACTTTAAACTTTAAATGGAAGAAAAAACAGGTATTTTTTAAGCTAAAAGCCATTCATATTTGACTGTAGTGAATTTTCTAACAACTCATGTTAAGATTTTACTTCAGATAATACCAGCTTATATTCCAACAGTGTGGTATCTGATTCTATTCTCAGTAGTGTAAATGAATTAGCTTTCTTAATTCTTAATTAATAATTCTTAATAATTAGCTTTCTTAATTCTTAATTTCTGGAGCTACCTTGTCTTACCAAATAAAAATAAAGCTCTTCATTGAATTTGTCACAAGGTTGCTTCTTTTTTCAAAAACAAAGATCAAATTGAAACTTGGGACAACTTGGGTCATGTTTGCTATTATTTTGTACACTTTAATAAACAGAAAGCATATGGCATCTATTTATAAAGCAATATGAGCCTCTTAGTTTCCAAATCTATAAAATCTGTAAAATGGAAGTATTGGTAGTAATGTCATTATTTCTGTGAGGACTGCATACAAGTTAACATTTAAAATGGTTGCTTGGTGTCAGGCACCTTGTAAGTGCTTACTTAGTATCCCGTAGTAGCTAAAAATGATAGTCCTAAAGCTAGATTGTCTGCTTGGAAGCACAGCTCCAATCACTTACTAGTCAGTTCTCTTTCCAGTTCTTTTTCTTCATCTCTCAAATAGTGCTTATCTCATAAGATAATTAAAAGAAAGAAATCTCTGTGTTTGATTGGTTATTGATTGATTTGCTGGTGCTGGGGTTCAAACCACATGCATTGTGGGTACATACATGCATGTACTCTATCACTGAGCTATACTCCCCAACTCCCCCCACACACACACACATCAATAAATGAATCTGAACATGTAGAATGCTTAGGAAAGTACCTTGAATGTATTCAATGCTCACTAAACATTAGCTATTATTGTCATATTTTATCCTGAGCCTGCAATTTAGCAAGGGGTTTATCCATCTTTAGACAACTTTAACTATCATGAAATTGCCATGACTCAGACACAGCCAAGCTTCCTACTCGTGTAACCAAAGGGAATTAGCATGATTATTTTTCTCCATAAATATTTTAAAAGAAAAGGAGGAGGGAAGGAAAAGAAGAAAATTTTTTCAACATTTGCAAATGATAGCATAAAAGTATATTTTAGCCAGGCACAAGGGTGCCTACCTGTATTCCCAGTGACTCGGGTTTGGATATGATTTGTCCCCCAATTGTTCATGTGTTGGAGACTTAGTCCC